CTCAAAGTCTGGGCTTGGTGTTGTAGATTCTGTCTTTCTGCAAAGAAGCGAGAAGGGGCGTGTTAAACAAGTGAAAAAGTAGCTCAAATGTGATAAGGAACCAGGAGACCATGGTCTCTTGATCATGGTCTCTTCAGGAAACCGTAAAAACCAAGAAACGTCAAAATATCCGAGAGACTGAGACTCATGGACTGAGTGTAAACGGCGGTGTTTATAAGAGCAGTTATTTGACAACACAAAATAACTAGCGAACGTTTTCTGTCTCATTAAGGCAATGCATTATATTGTATTAACCCCCTCTTCGACTTAATGAGTGTTCACATATATATTTCTCTTCCTTGTGCAATAGACATTACAAAACATCTAGATCACCTAGTTCAACATCACCTAGTTGCGTCTAGCCTCTTCTAGGCACCTGAACGCCTGGAAGAGGCTTATACCCCGTTCACACCAACATATTTAACATGTTTAAAAGTGGCTTATCTAAACAAGGTTGAAAATAGTTGCTCATACCGCGCACGTCGCGCAACTTAAGCAGGTAAAAACCTGTTTTAAGCAGGTAAAAACCTGTTTGAGGCAAATAAGGTATCAAGGTGGTTTGAAATTTGTCTTTTCAAAATAACCGCAAAGCGTAATCGACAAATTGGAAAAACCTAAACCTGATGCACTTAAACTAGTTTAGTTCGTGTAAATGGGGATTAAGTTACGTCTAGAACTGTGCACTAACCTCTCGCAGCTCGCCAATGTAATATTTTGAGAGAATCTTCTGAGCTTCAGCCGAGTGGCCGATATCTTGAAACACGGTGGTGGCATCCATACCTTAATTAAGGAGAATTCAGAAATGTTTAAGTTAATGCAATGTCAACTTTTCTTAAGCGAAGGAAAGACTGCAAGTCTAGAGAATCCAAGAGCAGACAGCTCGTACCAATTTAGCCCTCAGAAGAAGTTTAATTCGAATTCTTTAATTTTGAAGTTGTTTTGCAAATTCAGTTAGGGCGAGTAACAAGAATAACAGAACTGATTTGTTCAAGAGAAATGATTGGACTTGTATAGATTAAATTCTCCAAAGTAACATGGTCGGAGCTCACAAATGAGCAAAAGTATTGTAACGACAAGTGGATAGACAACAGTGTCCGCAAAAACAACTTATTTAATGCACTAAGCAGCAACGACGAAAACTACAAACATGGCCGACCACCTGAGCCCGCTGTCACGTGATCCGCGAGGCGGGAACCCGGACTTGTACTTCGTGTACGCATACTCGTTACAAGTATAACAGGAATTTTTATATCCAACGTGATCGCTGTTTTCCTCGGGCTACGCCAGACCCCTGGCGCATGAGTAAAGCTGATGAAAACAAGCTTGACGCCTTCCAGTCGACATGTATATTGCCCAATGAAAAAGGGCAACGAAGAAGAAAAAGAAAATTAAAGCTGATGGATCATAATGATTAATCTTGGCACTAAAAGGGCTAAAAAGGGAACTATACGGAGTGCTATATGGAAAAAGCTTAGAGGCTTGGCTTTCAACCCTCTGTCAGTGACAACTGAAATGTAAGTAAATGTATGGATGTTTGAATTAAATAGAAACTCTCAATTAGAATTCTGCACGGGAACAAGTTTTATAAGGATAGGTCTCAATATATAAATTATGGAACTGAACTCAATGGAAGCAATAAATCGACTGAATCTGCGGGTTGTCTCGCAAGATTGTAAGTTCGCTACAAACTTGATTTATTTATACAGTTTACTGAGTCCCCAAAACATTCTCTTTGTACTATAGTAAATGCAATTTTGGGATTTACTCTTTACTCACCTGCGTGTTCCAGCATGATTTCGCTTCCTCCCGGATGCTAAGAACAAAGTAAATAGCTCCTTAACTCAAAGATAATAGAAGTCTATATGCTCATGCTGGATAACTGCTAGTTAAATTCGTCAGGCTTTTGCTTGTCTCAGAGTTTATATATCTCTTAGATAAAAGTAATTCCCCTGAAATAAAACTGCCGATATATTTTTGTTCCAACTTTGTCCAGTGAATATTTGTCATATGGGAACTTTAATTATAAAATGAAAAAGTAGGGTGCTCATGCTCGTTAAGGACCAGTGAGGCATTAAAAATGTCCCATTTAAGCATTATGTAATGCTTATTACAAGAACACATTCCAAGTTAAACTCTTTGTGAGCCCAGACTCATGAAAACACGCCTCAAACTACAGTCAATACTTGTGTCGGACACAAATAAATTTTTTAAGTTTGATTTTTACAGACAGCTGAATCCTTGTTAAAATATTGGAACCAAATTGCTTGCCACGGCTATCAAACTGCAAAACAGAAAAGACTACAGTTCAGCTGCTATTTTCCTTATTTATTCAATTTTCAACAACAGAAATCAGATCAGTCTTTTCTCACGCAAAGCTAATGATTAGTTGATTAAAATGACTGAAAAAAATTGTGGGTGCCAGAGCTCGTTAGTGAGCTATAGCCATTTTTCAACTGACAGATCTCAATACCAAGGCAAATCCGCCATGTTTTCAATGTGCGCGTGCACGAGCGTGCGCGAATGACGCCATAAATTATGCGCAGTAAGGATGCGCAATGTAAAAGTGAGGAATCACCTCAACAATTGGGTCATTGAGCTCGAGATTTCTATCACGCTTAGAAATCGAGGGCGAATAATCTAATTGTTTTAGTATAAATCTAGTCGTTCAACACTTCATCTAAATCCTGTTCACAAACACTTCGAAAAACGCAAAGCGGCCACCATTTTGTTGATAACCGCACACTGCAAGGCTACTCACTATCTGCAACAAGAATAGATGGTACCGGACATTCGTGATAGAACGCTAATAGATTTATGTTAAAATGAGCTAGAAGAATCAGACTTTACAATCAAGACAATTGCCGTGTTTTCATTTGGTGATCGTATCCCGAATTCTCTAAACCTCAATGCTTGATTAGGTACTGATATTGTGGGACGAATTTAGATATTGATCAGATCAACATCTGCCTTTACTGGGAAGCACAAATCTCAAAACGATACTGAGACAATTATACAAGAACGCGCCATTAAGGCAACTTAGATGCTTTTCCTTGGCATTCGATCTCGCCATTGTTTCATTCAAACAAGAATTAACTATTTATCAGCTTGAAATTGCTAAAAGTACGTTGACCGCCGTAGCGAGTTTATGAAGTTGACGTTTCGAGCAAAAGTTCTTCGCTGGTCGAACAAATAAGCTCTAACGGTGGATAATTTTCTTGATCACAATCACATTTTATATCCAAAGCTTTTTTTTCAAAATATAATTAAAATATTTTCAAGAGACATCTAACGTACAGAGACTACAAGGAGCGAATTTTGTCTCGAACTGAACGTACAGAGAAATTCAATTTACCTCATCCAAAAAGTTGGTTAAATCGTACACTTTGTCCTTGATCACGATCCAGCATGAAGATATGTCGGCATGATATGAGACTTCGTCCAGAGAAAAAACTCTGGGTTTTGTTGGGGCTATTTTCATCCTCTTCTGGGATAAGGTCTCCATATATTATGGCAAAGTTTTAATGAGGATGGCTTCCTGTAAAGAACAGAAAAAAAAGATTAATATACACTACATGCAAGTGAAAATAAACTACATGTAAAAATGTTATATATAAGTTGTTCTGTGTGATCATTCAAACCTTGTAATTTT